CACTACAGCTGAAAGTTGCGGGGTGGTGGTGAGACAACCAACAAGCCACAAGATGAGTATCTTGGACACACAGACCTTCCACAGGCACGCTGTACGACCTTCCCAAAACGAGATCTCTAGGTGGGTGGAGGTATCGTCCTAACTTTGACAACTCGTGTTCATCTCGTAAGCATCTTGGTAACCACGAACTCCACATGTCTATACGCACATACACACATCGATACCTATGTGTACACTAAGGCCCGCGCGGTGCGGTCTACGCAGGTTACGGGCGGGTATGTACTTGCCATCTGGTCACTGATCTTCACGGGCTTCACATTTGGTAGCTACCATGAATGGCTGGCGTCTGTCACAGCGGCATATTAGTCAAATAAGCAACCAACAAGTCCGTCATTATGACTATCCAAAAAAAAAAAAAAAAAAAAAAACCCAAGACACCAAGGCAGGCAGCCATCATGCCTTACACTAAAAAGAAAGTTCTGCGTGACAGAACAATCTTTGACCGAGATACGTACGTTCATACATGCACATATAGGTAGCCAAGGCGACCTGATACACAAAATGCCGGCCGCAATGCCAAGTGCTTGCATGACTGCCGCTTCCTGAAATAGATGTTGCTGCTGCAGGACAATATACAGGCATGTCAGGCAGGTAGATTGGCAGGCAGAAAGACAGATCACCGGCATGACGGCGACGGCGGTATCGGGATGACGCGGGACAGCTAAGACAAGCACTGTCACGTTTTGTTCTTTCAAATAAGCAATTGTGGTCTTATTTGCCGCTCTTCCTACGTCCACCACACTGCCGCATCCATCGACAATCAGCTACAAATACGAAAGCGAAAGCGAACCCTCTACCTACAGATGGATATATCTACCTACAGGTATACAGATGTGATGAATGTGATAGACAAGACAAACCAAGACATGATCAAGATCAAGGAACGAACATGGGCAGGGTCGTGAGAATGGTGAGACGGATCAGACGAATTGGACAGACGGGCAGGGTGGGTGAGACCGGAGCGAAGAGCGGGAGTGACCGAGCGCTCCGCGCCGCCGCCGCTGCCGCCGCCGCTGTTATGGAGCCCCATGGACCATAGTCAGCATGGTCGACCATGGTAAGGCAGGCTTGGTGATGAGTACAATAAGCAAAGATAGATGAGCATGGCTCAAAGGGCGAAATACCACGGACATAATGCACCCCCGCGCATGCCCTCGGAAGCCGTCCGTTTGGATCATGTATGTGTGGATAAATCGGTTGAATGGGCAATTCTCATTGAATGAATGCTTGTTGGGTTCAAAAAGGATTGTTGTCGTCAGCACGCTAGTACGCTATGCTATGCACATGCGCTACTGTACACATCACAGACATAACACCCCCAACCCGGCTCTTTTGACGGCTTGAATGCGATTGGCTTCCCGCCCGCGAAACGACGTTCGTCAGTCCAACAGAGATGAGCGACGACAGACCAATGAGTACGCATCCGGCTTTCGTAGTTGTTCTCGTCTGTTTGGGAAGTTTGTTAAGGGTGGCTGGTAGATAATACCGAGGACTGAATCTCAAAAGCCGAAGATGCGACACAACCGAGCCGTTAGGGCTTTCTTTCTTTCTTTCTTTCTTTCTTTCTTTCTTTCTTTCTTTCTTTCTTTCTTTCTTTCTTTCTTTCTTTCTTTCTTTCTTTTTCTTTCCCTCTTCTTTTTCTCCCCTTTGAGGCAACAACATGTTACAATCATTGCTAACAACCAGCCTTTCTCTTCGGGAACGTATAGGGCACCCATCCATAGCATCCGGTAACACTTCTCCATATTCCCGCCGCGCCATCGCACCGAGCAGCTTTCAAAGTGGAACCAAAAGGTTCCGCATGAAAGGATCGGTGCAGCATGGCGACAGGGCATCAACAAGGAAAGTGGAAAGAAGAACAAGAAGAAAAAGAAAACCTTTTGGGGCGGATTACCGAACCGACGTGATTAACAGCTAACACGTCCGGGGATTGCATTCCTTCGTTCTCGACAAGGAAAACATGACCGAAGCGCAACGCTCCCCGGAATTTGCTGACCTTTCTCATCACACACGACGTAGGACGTACATAGGATGTGGGATGATATGGGCTAGGATGCTGGACGTGATGAGGCACCTCGTCACAAACGCTCCTACCTAGTGTACATAGGTACAGTATGTACAGATGTATGTAACAAGCCTAGCCCCCCGTTCGGGGGCCCGGAGGAGGACCCATCTCTCAAACCCTTCCCATGCCATCATCTCACCATCACCACGTTCTACGTTGGGCGCTACATACTACATCCACGCTTGTATCCCACGTTTGCTTACTTTTTCGCATCAGACAAGCGGTCCGATGCGGTCCGCTTTGGTGGTTTGAAGAAAATATTTTCCCCTAGGCAACTCCCTGGAAGAGACTATTTCGCTCGCCCTGTCCATACCCCCCCAATTCTCGTCGTTCTCAAGGAGTCCCGGCCGCTGCCACCACCGCCTTCACATGTCTGTGCGCCTGCGTTTGCCGGTGAAGCCAGGGTTCTCAATTACTCAAGAAGGGAAGAGCTGCGGATTTTGCGGGTCGTGAAGGACCCTTATTTCCTCTCTCTCAAATCTCAACGGTTTCGGTTTCCTGTGTCTCTCCCGCCGGCTAAAATGCAAGAGGGACAACTCTGGCAAAAGGGAGCGGTTTGGTTCCCGATCGGATGGACTTTTGTGGTTGGCAATTTGAACGTTCGACAAGTGTGCCGCCGTTCGATCAACAGTAGGAATTCCGGTTCGTGCCAGAGACGGGTTAGAGGGCCTATCTTCCATTTTGATCTTTTCCTTAGCTCTGGGGGGCTAGGCCAACGTCCAACTTATGTTCGAATCTCGATGTTTGCGGTTTCCCTGCAAGCCATCGCTCGCCAGTCTGTATATCATCGGCAGTCAATTTCATTCACTTTGTCTCCCTCCTCTCTCTCACTAAAACTCGGTTCTGCATCACCGAAAGTACGCCGAAGCACTGCTCACATGCCCCGTTATGCTTGGATTAAGTTGGGCTGGCCGAGTAGCTAGTACATAGCTGGGTTGGGGCCGGCCCCTGTGAAATGATGGAACATGGAGGCACATCCACAACCCACCCACCTCCTTTCCGCTAGCCTCGCGAGAAACATGAATGCGGAATGAGGCCCGCTCTGCCTCTTTCTCTGCTTTTCATTAGTGCCCGGAGGAAGCCCCGGTGGAGATGAGATGGGCTTCGAAGAGGAAAAATAGACGAGGGTTCCGTTTGAAGAGAAGAAGAAAAGGGAAAATCACGCTAGGATAATGACTCTAGGCCACACCATCTCGACGGCCGACCCAGCAGTGATGAAAGACAGCTTGCGACATACACAACACTGCCGAAAAGCCAAGTCAAAGCCAAGGCGATTTGCTTGCGCGGGTTAACCCGCCAAAGGGACGGACGACACATGGGGGTGTGCAGAGTCGCAGGGTTTGACAAGACTAAACCCAGAACGTGCAAAATGTCGTGACAAAGAGACCCATAACGAGCACGAAATCGCGATGCATAACCTCAAAGTCTCGTCACCATCAGTCAGACAAAAACGGATTTTCATCGACAAGGGGCACTTATATTAAACACCCCTGACCAGAGAGTGCGCGAGTTGCTTGCCATACTATCGCAATTTGAAAGGTTTTGAAGCGAGCGAGCGAAACACAATTGCATCTCGTCTCAACATAATGGTTCCCAGACCCCTTACACCACTCACCATGTCTCGAGACAACGCTGGTATTCTCGACGGCAATCATGATGTAGATACGAACAGATTCTGTTGAGGGAGGAGAGGGGGTTGGGCTCTCCATGCGCTCGTAGGAAATTCCAGATACGCGAAAGCGTAGGTAGGTATACTAGACTACAGATGTGGGAGCCCTTGGTTAGAGCTGTTAGTCGACATTTTCTTAGTCTTCAAACTTTCCCCCCGGTTTTCGCTCCAGCCGCCCGGGACACCCAATGAGACTTCAACAGTCCAATCGTGCTACTTACTATTGGGAGTTGAGCTGATTGGCTGGGTCTTCCTCCTTTGTGCACACCAGCCGATCTCTACATGTGTACTAGTAGAGTAACCTCTTCGAACCAGACTCTTCTGGGCTTCTCTCTTCACCAGTTTTCTCCAGTTGCTTCAACGCTCTTAGTTTTACAAAATATGCGGCTGATCTTTGTCAGAGTAACAGCAACTCTGCCAGGCTGTACTGACCGCCTTGTCTAAACAACATGCATACATGACACTCGCTTGCCTACCCACTTACATGCTGATGCGCTCAATACCTACCGTCCAACATATTACCGAGATAGGTATGTCGAGCTCCGTTTCGGCATAATGGTTTGCATAGCTGGCCCGAGTCTCCGTTTCCAAGACCTTCTCGCATCGTCTCGCATTAGTTTGGAGCACGCGGCATTTTAGTTCGCGGCGTTGCATGGCTCTTGGTACTGCGGCTAGAGTATGTATTTTTATCCGCGGAATTTTTTTTAGTCTTTTTATTCTTCTACCTACCTCGGAATGTCTGACATTTCTAATCCTATGTATCAGACCACCGGCCCGGGAAAAGACAAACCCCTTACCATAGACAGGTGGAAATGGATATGTACATACCTAGATAATCCGAAACCCTAGGAACCCTCAGGTACCTAGACGGGGTCATACTGTAGACTTGTAAAGGGCCTCCGATGAAGAGGGAAAGATCTTCTCTTCTCTTTTGCAATCTCCACGTGGCATTCCCACGTGCTCGCTCAATGTGCCTCAACTGAGCATGCCACACCTGGCGTTGACTTTGAAGGGGTCGGGTTGTAAACAGAAGAGGCAGAGTTTGTCAGCCAACACAACAAATGCATTGCAACACTTACCAGACAGAGGGGAGGCACAAACAGATTAGCCTATCACGGCAGGGTCTATTTTTAAGACCGAACAAAAGTCTTCGACATTTTTACGTTCAATGTTCTTCTCCTCAGTTTAGCCGATCGATCCCTCGGGATGGACAACGCTTCCAGGCCCCACGGCAACCGACCTTTATGGGTTGGGTTCAGAAGAATGTCAGTAGTTGTGTTCGGCTTTCCGGAATTGTCCTCCTCCTGTCGCTCTCCTCGTCTCTTCTCTCTCAGAGTCGCCGTCGAACCATCTCAGTATTCTCCAGCAAAGTGGCACTGGAAGTAGGGATCCTCTTGATCACCGAGCCCAACGGCGCCAGACTGGTCTGGGCTCGCCGGTCGCCGTCTGGCTGTGGGCTATTAGGTTTCATCGAGGGTTCCAAGATACTCCGCGTATCACGGTGTCTGGAGTTACGTTGTGGATAACTACTCCGAGATTGTCTTCTTGTCGAGTCAGTGACTGTTCGATACAAAATTTTGTATCTGATCCTTCGCTTTTATTTTAGCCGCCAGTCCACATCAATTCAACCACCAGCAGCCAAAGGGTCTGATGGAGTGATGATGGTGCGCGAAGGAAATCCGAGAATCATCCGCTGAAGGCTGGAGGGTGGTACCACTCGAACCACTCCGCGGAGTCCTCTAATCCTCACCCCCATACGTGGGCATGGGTTAAGGACAACCATCCACCACTAAGAAAGACCATGTTTGTCTCATACCCATTCCCCCGTGATCCTCACCTATCTCTCTATCATCCATCATTCGCAATCCATTCCCCATCCATCATCACCCGAGGACCGGGCCAAGGACCAATATCAGAACAAGGGTAAATTCATCACCCCTCGTTCCCCATTCCCCATTCCCGAGAAAGAATGATAACTACCCACGCCCACGGCCCTGGTACGGTATCACACTAGCCCATATGCCTGTCTGTTCCGTTGCTTTTTTTTTTCCTCCATTCTGCCGCCTTGGTGCCGGTGGTTTCCTCAAGTATTCGGTAGTAGTTCGGTCGAAAGTTCTTTTCGATAGGCTTTAGGGCAGTTTGGAAACTGGACGTACCCAACCGGCTCTGTAGACAATGGGTAAGTAAAGTTCTATTGCTCCGAGTTGACATCCTTGTCGGGAAGTGGTGTACTTCCGTGAGAGTGTCTAGGTACCTCCCTCACTTGAGCTGCGTTTGGGATAGTGCACTGTAGTTTCCATCCTCGGCTTTTGAAGGGCCTTCGTGAGCGAGTATTGAGATAGATAGATATATGCAATATCGGAGGTAAGTAGGTAGGGAGGAAAGAGAGTCATCTCTCGTCGGGACGTGGGGGTATACTTCGCTTCTTATTACTACCAGGTACGACACGTTTACATACCCCCCCCCCCCCCCCCTAGTTCCTCAGTCTCCTTGAAAGTTTCTGAGCTGCCCGGTTCTGCCAAACATTCCGGTGAGTTTCCCAAGTTCAACCGACGACTTCAGTTGTCGCTCTGCTGTCATATCTCTAGAACCCATAGCTTGAAAACTGCATAGAGATCAGATCAAGTTCCCCCAATGCCAAAGCATCAAAAATAGAAATAACTCCGAGTATGAAACATCGCACCTCCAATGATAAGGGAAAGGTTAAAAAAAAGAGAAAAAGAAAATTTGACAGATGATCCGACCCAGGCTCGATCTGGGGACCTTCAGTGTGTTAGACTGACGTGATAACCAACTACACCATCGGACCAGTAATTATTGATGGCGTCACAATCCAACACCTATAGAGGCAATTCAAACAATGCGCCCAGGTGCCAAACGCCACATAAAAAACGAGTTCAATGACAGTTTAACTTGGAGCTTGCTCCATTTGTGACTTTGTGAAGGTTTTGGTTCAAATAAAATCAGGGGTATCACAACCTAAGTGTTCAATAAGGCACATCCCTGTTTTGTCGAACTACGGTGCCTTCAGAGGCCAACGCTACCAAAAAAGATGGGAACAGATGTCCAAGATTTGAAGATTAAAAGACATCACACGCTTGAGTGGATAGTATCACTGTTGCTATATTTTCGCATCATTTCACCATCTTGACCAGTGGCGTTCAAAGCTGCAACTGCGCGTCCTCGAAGTGAGCGTAACCCAAGGCCATGACAATAACTTCAACTGAACGTAGTGATCCGTCAATATAGCAACAGTGCATGAGGAAGGAAACGATCAGTCAAGGTGTTTGAAACGATGTCCACCATCTCGCTCAGTTCAGTATGTTGCACTTGCACGTCTCGGCATCGCCTGTCAACGAACTGGCGTGAAGGTGCAAAGACCGCGAGTCTCTGGGGAGACAGACAATAGAACTGCAAGTGAAGAGTACAAGGCGAATGCTGTTGAAGCCACCCCATAGCGTAGAGTGGTAATAGGTAAAGGGATACCTCCAAATATGTGAGACTGGCGCAAAATAATGCCCTGATCATCATTTCATTGACTAAGCGGAAATGTCAATGACTGGTAAGTCAACTTTGATGGACATCGAGCTTGTCTTGAATTGTGGTGATGGTGTGATCGAAGCTAGCGGATAGGGTGAATGAAAGCGACAAAGGGAAGTTCGGATAGCAAAGGGTCTTGAACATCCTTGAGATTTGCAGTCGAGTCCTACTTGTCCTTTCAATGGTTTCCTTCTTGTCGCGTGATGCCGTCTTCACAGAACTTTCCCTTCGGGTCCGTTGTCCACCAAATGACTGGTAGGTATCGGAAATCGCAACCAAACGAGCAAGATCCAGCCACGAGTCGCTTGTCGTCCTCTGTGTTAAGCTGGGGCAATCCCCTCCGCTTATTATTTGTTTTCTGATATGACCTGAATAAGGACAATAGATAGGCTCCCCCAGAGTGTCGTGTCAAAGGATCTGCATCACCGACGATACCAGCTACATAGACTATGAGAGCGAACAAAAATTTCACGACACTTGAACACTTGACCTTGCTCAAGAACCCGTGTTTGGTGAAAGAGTGTTCTCAAAGCCTTCTTCGTTACAGATGAAGAGGACCTCAGAAATGGACAGTCGAGTAGATCTATAGTGTACACAATCAAGCAAATCCTCAAGCGGCAAGAACGCCTAGAAACAAACCGATGCAAACTCTGGAGAATTGAATTAGTATCACTACAAATATAGATGAAGTGTGCTTGCCACACGATATACAGAACCTTTGTCGAAGCTTGGAAACACTTCCCAGTCAGAATTCAAACAGGACTTCCTGAAATTAAGTCCGGCCTACGGCAGTACTGATCTTATCGACTTGCATCATCGGTATGCCACAACTTGTTTCGCGTATATATATGTGATCCTGGAAATAACCCACATCGACTTAGACAGCCACTCAAGGTCCCAGGATTAAATGTTTGACCCCTTAGGGCATGGGTGTTTACAGTCTACTCGAGCAAATCGGGACGACAACACCACCATCAAATAAGCAAAAACGACTGGAACCAACGGCAATCGTCAGAATAGACAACAGCACAGCGGGACAAAGCCAAATATGAAATGGTACGTGCGTGGTAACTCGTTCTTGATTCACTGTTGCCGCACCTTGAACGTATTGTTGAAGCTTCATCGAGCACTCGATACGTCCAAGCCAGAAACTCCGAGCTTACTCGCTCAGTACAGCCACTGATGACCGAGCCAGAGAATCCCCATCCCTCTCCAGGGTATACATAGATCATCCACGAGCCCCATACCCAGGCAATATTTTGGTTCCCCCCATGTCATAGAAAGCGTGTCAGTGTGACCTCCCTGCTTCCCTCTAAAGCCGTGAGCTCCAAGAAAGAAAATGAACCAATCATAAGGTCCGAAAAGAGAATCGAATCGCCAATCTTCAGTTCTCCAGGCCCTGCAGCACGACGTGAAAGTTGCGTGTTGCCCAGTTTCAGTAACACCGCCCCCAAATATCCAAACCAAGAGAAAAAAAGTTAAATGACAAGAAATCTGAACTTCAGATACCAAGAAATTTGAAGAAGCGCCCTCCCAAAGCGACCAGGGGATATCGTTAGCAAAAGCAAAGAACAAATGAGAAATAAGAAAACGAGATTCCGCGTATATTTAGTCGTCACTTAATCTTGAGTCGCGTGTTCGTCGCCAAATGGACTCCGTTCCCGTTCTCTAGAGCCAGGGGAATCAGTGGCCCGGCTTGAGGCTCTCCTGGTTGATTGCTGAAGTACTGCACTCAAAGTTGCTGTGCCGTGGGTTGCCGATCGATCTGCCGGAGGGGACGGGGGATCCGAGAAAGGCCCTTGATCCACGGCAGGCGAATCGATGATGATGGTGCCAACATTAGAGTCTCGTCCTGCGGATGAAGCAGAGGTGGGCGAAGTTGCCGACGAATCCGACGTCTTGGGTTTGGTAGTGTTCACCTTCTTGACACTCCCTACGCGAACGACCATGGCGCGAGCAGGCGTAGCAGTGTTCAGGAAGGTGGATCCCACGCTGAACGTGCTATTCCTGCTATTTGTAGGACTCGGAGGGCGAAACCCGGTGTACTTCTCGTAATTCACGCTCGGCACAGGCGGCGTTGCGGTGCCGCCCGAAAAATTAGAATGAGCCGACTTAACACTGACCATAGCTGGCTTCGCCCGCATGCCGGTTTGGGCAGGTGTGATAACAACACTTTTGCCATAGATGGTAGATGCCACGCTAGACCGCGGCGCATATGACGTCCGGGCGTAGGAGGTGCGGTCTGTGAAAGATGATATGCCGGAATATGTAGAGTCGCGCAGATCGCCGGGAACAAAGAAATGCTGATCTCCTGTAGCAGAGGGACTGCCACCGTGGCCGAGAGGAATCGGAGGTACGGGGGGGACAAGGACTGCCGGGGATGTTGGGGTTCGGTTCGTAACTCCAGGGATATATGCTATCTGGATGATGTTGGATGCTCGCGTGAAAACGGTGTCTGCTACCGAGCCGACGGTATGTGTGGATGCCCGATTATCACGCGCTTGGGCGAAAGACTTCTCGAGGCCGTCGTCTTGAGCCTGCACTCCATCCCACTCCTCTGGTGCAACAACTTGTCTCCTCGACTTGATGCAATATCTCCAAACCAAATATGTGAGAATCGCAATTACAGCTACACCGCCGACAACACCCCCTGCAATGGCACCGACATTTGTGGAACTGCCTGACGAGTCCCCATCTGAAGGCTGATAGGAATTTGAATCCGTATTCTCTTCAATAGGAGCACAAATCATGTGCGCACACTCCTTGCAACTCGCGAGAATGGTCGTGCACGCAGTACCCTCCGGACAGGCCGGGCAAGAAAGTGGTACTCTGTCGTCGCACAGAACACAAGTCCCATCACGCCTGAAGAGGTTGCTCACCACTGTTCGGTGTCGGTTAGATCATACTTTTTTCGACCAACTGTTCTTGCGGAAGACATACCGTTCGGTGACATCGCAACGACCGCCATTTTGACCAATCTATGACG